GCAGGATTTCTACAGCCACAGTAACTGGGTCGAACTGGGACCACCGCGGGATCCACCCGGACCTGCTCCAACCCGGTCGTGAGCTGGGCTCCATCGCCGGAGGTACCAGCCCGGCCGTCTGGCCGTCCCGAGATCGGGTCCCGTCCTGCCGGGCGCTGCCCAGACCCCCCCCCCCCCACCCGACCGAGATTGGGGCCCCTTCGCGCCGGGCGCTGCCCAGACACCCCCCCACACACACACTGTCTTGCAGTCGTAACACAGATCATTTCTCCTCCTTTCTCCTGGGGAAACTGAGGCACGGAGCGGCGACTTGCCCGGGGGAGGGGAGGTTCCGGGGCTGCGCTGGGGATAGAACCCAGGCGTCCGTCCGGACCCACCTTCGGACCCCCCTTTCCCCGTCTCTCCCGCAGCCGACGTCCGGACCTGCTGCTCCTGCACCGGCTGGACGTGCGAGGGGAACCTCCTGGGCTCGCTCCGGGAGCGCGGGCTACTGACCAGCGGGTATTTCGGCTCCGAGCCGGAGAAACCGCCCGGTACGGCTCGGCTGGGCCTGGTTTGGGGGTGACCATTCTCCACGGGTAGGGGAGACTCCCCCCATTCCTCCCTCCTGCACAGCCCCTGATTTCCCACAGCTTGGGGGGCCGCGGCATTGACCAGCACCCCAACAGTTTGCAGGTGCGGAGAGAACAAAGGGGGGGCTGTGACCTCCCCAGGGGGAGGGCTTATTGGGGTGCATGCCTGGTGTGTGCCAAGGCATCGGGGGGGCCCCAGGATTTTAAGGGGTGATACCAATGTCTGGGGGGGGGCTATGAAGCTTGCTGATTTGGGGTTCCTGGTTAGGTTGGGGGGGGCAGAGGGAAGGACCCCAATAATTTACGGGGATGCCGCTGAGTTCTGCTGCAGGCGACGAGCACCCAATAATACTGAGGGCGAATGGGTTTGGGGGGCAAAGACAGTGACCCCAATAATTTGTGGGGTAGCTTTCAGGGAGATCAGGGTTGCTATGGATGAAGGGGCTGCTGGGTATGGTTTGGGGAGGCAGAGGTGACCCCAATAATTGGGGGGTGCCTTTGCGAGGGGAGCAGGATTGGGGTTGATGATATTGGGTCATGGGGGGGCATCAGAGGGGGTGACCCCAAAAATCAGGCAGGACAATGTGGGAGGAGATTTTAATGGAAGGGGTTTTGGGGGGCCCTGGGGGGCAGATTTAGGGGAGCAGGGAGGCTAATTGGACCCCATCTCCTCCGTACCCCCGCCCGCAGGGAAATGCAGCCACGGGGGACAGTTCGACAGCAGCCGTCTGCAGGACCCCCAAGGGGGGATAAACAAGGACAGTTCGTCCCCCCTCTTCTCCCCCCACCACTATCTGCACGGCCCGGCGGCCGGCCTGGCCCTCGAGGCCTCGGCCCGGTTCCTGCGCGACCTGCGGCGGGACCTGGCCCACGACAAGCGATTCATGAGGTGAGAGCCCCCCACTGCGACCCCTCCGCCCCTCCCCAGCTCAGACACCCCCCCCCCCCGATCGGCCCTATCCCACACACCCGGCTCCACCTGCCCCCCACACCTGTATCGGCCCCATCCCCGGATCCGGGGTGTCATCCCCCCACTTGGCCCTGGCCCCCATCCCCGGATCCTGGGGTGACGTCCCCCCGCTCGGCCCCGGGCCCCACACCCCACACCCCACTCGGCCCCATCCCTCACATCTGGATCCAGGGTCACGTCCCCCTGCTTGGCCCCATCCCTCGCAACCCACATTTCCTCCTGGGTGGGCCCCGCCTGTGACTGAGTGTCCGTCTCTGCCCCCCCTGCCCCACAGGCTGCTGGACATCAGCCCCGCCGTGGGGCTCAGCTTCGTGCTGGACACCACGGGCAGCATGGGCGAGGAGATCGGCGCCGCCCGGCTCCAGGCCCGCGACATCCTCACCCGCCGGCTGGGGGGGCCCGAGGAACCCGACTTCTACCTGCTCGTCCCCTTCCACGACCCCGGTGCGTTCGGGGGTCCCTGGGCCCGGGGGAGGGGGCGATCGGCCCCCAGAGTCGGGGGGATGGGGGTGAGGCGTTGGGGGGCTGGAGGGTGTGACAGGTTCCCCCTGGGGTGCCACTTGGAACTGGGGTCCCACTGAGCCGCCTGACCCACCAGCCTGGGATCCCTTGACACTGCAGACCCGCTCCCGGTCTCACCCTTTCACCAGCACACGACACGCCCAGCAGACGCTGGGATCGGCTCGGCACGGGCAGGGTCAGCGAAGGAACCGCCCGGTGCTCGCCCCCCTCGGGAGGGTAAACCCCCAATGTTACCATCTTGTCCTGCACGGATCAGCACAGCGCAAGCTCACGAAATTCGCCCCCTCCCTCAATGGGAAGGGGAACATACCCCAGCTTTCCGCCCCGGGGTAGGATTTCCACACCCTGCTTTTAGACCAAACACACCCAAGTTTATTAACTCCAAACGAGAGATTTTCCGTGGTGACACGGCGCAGCAAACGGACCAAAGCAACACGCAAACGAAGCGTGATACGCTAAACCACTGCTTATGAGCAGCAAATTCCCACCCTACCCGCTGTCCTAGGAGCTTGCGGAGGTTTTTGAGGCCAGCTTAACCCGCCAGTTATTCCTATCACAGGCCAGACACCCCCGGCCTGGGCTCAGCCCGGCCCCCCCAAGTCCAGGTGCTCTCAGGTGCATCGGCGGTGAGTTATATAGGCCCGGCTCCACCAATAACATGGGCCCGGCTCCACTAATGTTCAGGCTTTGTGGGGCCTGCGTTTCAGAGGGACGCCAGGTCCAGGGAGGCCTGGGGGTCAGGGGTCGTTGCTCGGGGGCGGAAGCCGGAAAGAGGCGGGAAGGGGTGGAGTGGGGCCATCCCGGCTGATCGCAGTCGGGCTAGTGGGTGTTCCCCAGGTGTAGACACATCTGTAATAGCCGCCTAGAGAATATTGCTAACGTCCGATACCGAAATGATCCAGGCCCACGCGTGGGATAATCACATTCGGGGAATTCTAACCTTTCCAGTGACACCTCACGTGGCCCATCGTGCATAACCGTATCTTGGTGAGGAATATGGGGGTGTCGTGTCACGGGGGGACAGGCTGTGGGGTTCAGAGGGAGAATTGGGGGGCTGGGTGGGGCTGATCAGGGGATTCGGGGGTGGGGCCGAGCGGGATTTAGGGCGATTGCTCTTTGACTCCGGCCCTTCCCTGATCCTGTCCCCCCGCCTCGGTTTCCCCCCTTCAGGCTTCGGGCCCGTGCACAAGACGAGCGACGCCGATGAGTTCTTGAAGATCCTGAATTCCATCAGCCCCCTGGCCGGGGGCGACGAACCTGAGATGTGTCTGTCGGCGCTGCAGGTACTGGAGCTGAGTCCTGCCCCCCGCGGCCCCCCCATTTCCCATCCCCCCCCAGTCTCTGCCCCACAGCCCCCAATCCTGCTTCCCCTGCCTCCTGTGCCCCCCCATTTCTCATCCCCCC